AGCCATATTAAGAAGCCATACGAATCAGGAATGCAGATAATCAAACCTACAAAAATTAAAACCGCAAACATACAGATCCAACTTCAATTGACATTCCTTTTAAATAAACAGTCCTATTAGGAACCTACATTTGTCTGATTTTTGCTTTCCCAACAAATAAACAAAAAAAGAAAGTATATAGTCAGAGAAATGAGCTCAAATTAGGTCTCTCTTAGAAAGAAGAACAGCCAGTAATGTTTTATTCATTGCTGCATGTTAATGAAGTGCCAATGGCAAGGGCATAAGCCTCCTTTAAATACTGGGAATTAAGAACCTGGCCACCTTTCTTACAGAACCTTAGCGCATCAGATTTGTCACCGCTGCCAGAACAGCGGCCATGCATTGAACTATCCCTCTTCTTGGACCAGGTGCTGTATGAACACGGTATCAGAATAAGCAAAGAGCAGGTAAGGAGAGGAGCTTGAAATTTAAATGGACAGTGCAAATAAAAGGAAGGAGGCGGACAGAAACTGGTTCACTCAAGGTCATATGCAGCACGATATAGTAGCTGCAGAGCCAGGATCAAATTCCAAAGTCCAACTAGGTAATACGGTGACCGCAGGTAACTATACTAGAACATGTGGTCAAATAAAGACAAAAATCAATAGGAAAGTTTTTTGAAGGTTACCAAAGTCAGTTTTGCATCATGTCCTTGGAAATGGCATTTCAGAATCTAAAAAACCCATGCAGTATACAACACGATGTAACAGGACTCTATGTTTAATGGTTTTAATTGATTTTAAGTTCATAGTTATATGTAGTAATTAGCTATTATGATTTATTTGTGTATTGTACGTTGGCATTGAATTTTTGCCATTCGTATGTTGTAAACCACTTTGAGGGGTGAGAAAGACAGTATATAAATACAGTAAATAAATACATAAATATGTTGCCGAAGACAATATAGTTGGAGCTGTGATGTGTCTTCAAACTGTCTTGTCAACTTATGATGCACTCATGTCATAGGATTTTCTCAAGCAAGGAATAGTGCGAGTCTATTTTGCTAACTCTTTCCTCTGAAATAAAGTTTACATCACTTGCTATTCACTGGTGATCCTCCATCTTATTACTAACCGGGGCTGGTCCTGCTTAGCTTCCAAGATCGGATAGGATCTGCCGCCTTTAGGGTATTTGGTCAGTCTAACTTGACTAGTGCATTATTTTCTTTTTGAAAGCTTCTTAAAAATGGTAGAAGTTTCCCCTGACATTAGATCTAGTCGTGTCTGACTCTGGGGGGGGGGGGGGGGGGTGCTCATCTACATTTCTAAGCTGAAGAGCCAGCATTGTCCGTAGACACTCCAAGGTCATGTGGCTGGCATGACTGCATGGAGCGCCGTTACCTTCCCACAGAAGTGGTGCCTATTGATCTACTCATATTTGAATGTTTTCAAACTGCTAGGGTGGCAGAAGCTGGGGCTAACAGCAGAAGCTCACCCCACTCCTCTGATTCGAACCGCCAACCTTTCGGTCAGCAAGTTCAGCAGCTCAGCAGTTTAACTTACTGCGCCACCGGTGTGCCAGTAAGCTTCTATTACATCCTTTTTTACAGTTGCGATTCCAGATTGCTATACCCAGCTTCTGCCTACCTAACAGTTCAAAAAAATGCAAATTTGAGTTGATCAATAGGTACCACTCCGGCAGGAAGGTCACTGCGTTCCATGCAGTCATGCTGGCCACATGACCTTGGAGGTGTCTACGGACAACACTGGCTCTTCGGCTTAGAAATGGAGATGAGCACCAACCCCCAAAGTTGGGCACGACTGAACTATAGCCAGTAAAGGATGTTAAGGTCCAATTCGTTCATGGATCTCAATGCCACACTGAAGTGAGGTGTCTTACACTCACTGTCTCACCATGCTTTACAGTAGCTTCTCCTATGAGATGCCTTTCAAATGTCTTGCACTACAAACCCAATCACCCCAAGATTTTAGACTGGAGATGAAGAGGTTGTAATTCAACACATCTGAGAGCATCAGCAGGAAACATGAAAAGCAGCAAGACAGCCTTGGTATCTCAAGTAAAATATTCCTGGTGCTGCACCATAATCCAGCACACACACACAGAGGCTGGATCTACACACCAACAATGCAATTAGAACTGCATTATATAGTCAGTGTATGTAGATCAGGCCTGGGCCAACTTGGGCCCTCCAGGTGTTTTGGACTCCAACTCCCACCATTCCTAACACCCTCAGGCCCCTTCCTTTTCTCCCTCAGCTTATGCGGCTGGGGGGGGGGGAGGAGGAAAGATTCTGAGGCTGTTAGGAATTGTGGGAGTCGAAGTCCAAAACACCTGGAGGACCCAAGTTTGCCCGTGCCTGCTCCAGAGAGTCTCACGGCAAAGAACTTCCCCCTCCAGACTCATTGCAGTGACTCACTTCGATGCCACGCCATCCAGACATGCGGTGCTTAAGCAACCTAAGTGGGCACCTTTTTCCGGGAATGAGATTTGTTGATAGTGCAAATCCCACACCAGCAACGTGCTACGGTCATCTCTCTTGTGTGGACCATGAGTCACAATGCGCCGGCACCCTGCCCTGCTTTTCCAAAGTCAAAACACAAGCCTGACAAAAACAAGAAGAATCTCTCCTCCGCTGGGATTGGATCTGGCTGCCCTCTCCCTTGGGTAGGAGGAGACTCCGTGGGCAGAGACTGTGCCACGTGGAGGAGGCAGCGGCACATGAGAAGCCACCCAGCTGGAGAACAAGGTCGGAGGACAGGCATCACACGCTGCTGCTGCTGCTGCTTGCAAGGAAGGAAAGGCTCGGCTGGATCAGTTTCTGCTAAGCAACCTGATAGTAAACAATATATTATTAACTTCCTACCTGGAGATATCACAAGCAAAGCAGTCTTTCTCACTCACTCACAGCACCAAATCCTCTTTAGTGTGCAAGGGTGCATCCATGAAGGTGAGGAGGAGAGGCAACTATTTTTATGTTGCTTGGAAAAATAAATATTCATCACTAAGTATCAAGATGCTACATACAAGGCAGTGATCCAGACATCAACGAATGGTGTTGGTCAATTATTGCATTGAATAGCATCAAAGATTAGTTTTAGGTGATAACTTCTAAACCACGAAGGATACAATACTTAAAACTGTGTGGAACTGAGGTTTTGCAAAAACAACACTTCACAATATCGGGATGTTAAATGCTTTAGGGTCAGGAGGCAATTTGTGGGAAAAATTGTAATTCAGATAGGACTGCAAGGTGACCTGGAGGGGATAAAGTCCTGGGGAACTCAATAGAACACCTCCCAACAAAGGATTCCTCCAGGTAGCAACCAGCCAGGCTTTGAAGCTGCAAGACCATTCAATGCTAATCAAGGCGGCCAAGTGCAATATTCATACTTGCCTCAAGCAGACAAGAGTTCTTTCTCCCACCCTGGACATTCCACAGATATATAAACCTCACTTGCCTAGTTTCCAACAGACTTCACAACCTCTTAGAATGCCTGCCATAGATATGGATTAAACGTCAGGAGAGAATGCTTTTGGAACATGGCCATACAACCCAGAAAATTCACAGCAAACCCAGTGATTCTGGCCTTCGATAACACATCACTCATTTTCTTCCTTTCCCAGCAGTTGTCTTCACTTTCAAATGTTGCTGGCTCATGATCAGCTATGTGGGTGAAACGAGAGGAGAGAATGCTTCATTTGGAACATGGTCATGCAGCCCAGAAAACTCACTGCAAACCATTTTCAGGTAAAGCATACAAGCAGAGAATCAGATTGGGAAGAGCGGCAGGATGTGGAAACTGGGTTTTTTTTTTTACCTCCTGAAGGTGTATCTTCACTGTAGAATTAATGCAGTTCGACACTGTAGAATTAATACTATGGAATCCTGGGAATTGTAGTTTGAGTCTATGAAACTACAGTTGTAGTTGTCATGGTATCAAGCCATGGCAGTTAAAATGTTATTAATCCTGCACCTCTGAGGCTCTCTTCCTACTCCAGGTTGAGGAATATCTGCTTCTGGGGTTGCTCTATTCCCAGTCGCCAGATCTCCAAACACAAACACAACTTGGCCATCTGGAATGACACTGGGATTTGTTCCTGGCCATTAGTTCTTGGAAAGACAACTCCCAGTCCTGAACATGTTTGAGCTGCAAGGTGACCTGGAGGGGAGGAAGTCCCAGGGAACTCAATAAAACACCTCCCAACAAAGGATTCCCCCAGGAAGCAACCAGCCAGGCTTTGAAGCTGCAAGGCCATTCAATGCGAATCAAGGTGGCCAAATGCAACATTCACACCTCTGAGGTCCTCTTCCTACTCCAGGTTGAGGAATATTTGCATCCCAATCTGTTTTTCTTTTCCAAACACAAACTGAACCTGGCCACCTGGAATGCCATTGGGATTTGTTCCTGACCATTAGTTCTTGGAAAGACAACTCCCAGTTACTGGGCTGTTTTCAAACTTGCCAAGGATGGAGATCAGGGGAGTGCATCTTCACATTAGACCCATGGCTCCATACTGTGGAATCTTGGGAGTTGTAGTTTGGTAGCTCTTTGGTTGAGAAGGCAGCTCCCAGGATCCCACAGCGTGTCAAACTGCAACAACTCTGCAGTGTAGATGTCCCCTTTTAGTTCCAGGATGGATGTGCCCTGCTCCGGATTACCCTCCCCAGGAGTTCATTGCAGGCTCCCTGGTGTGTAATCCTGCCATTTCAGAGCGGGGCGCGGGCACGAGCGGCGCGAGCACGAGGGCGCTCTCTCCCTCTCCCTCCCTCTCTCCCAGGGAGGGAGGCTAATCCCAGCCGGGGCTGCAAACAGTGGGGAGAATCGATGGGGACGGAGGAAATGGGGTTGCAACCTCGGCTTGCCTTTGCAAAAAACCCCTGAACAGCACTCTTAGAAGAAGAAGATAACACAGCAATCCGGAGAAGATGTAGTGCTTCTGGGAGCACACCCGTCTGCCATTGCAAAGCAAAGGCGGCTGGAAAAAGAACCCGGACTTACCGAGAGATCAAGCCGTCTTCCGCTCTGCCTCTGCTGGGAAAGCACCAAGCTCCCTGGCTTCTGCTGCTGCTGCTGCTGCTGCCGCTCCCGCTCGGCGCTGGCGTTGCCTTTCTTCAATGGTACACAAACCAGGATGTCTTCTTCTTCGCTCGCGCGGCTTCTCTCCGGGGAATCCAGCTCCGCACCGCCCCCTCTGGCCGCAGCGTGCAACAGCAAGCGCTTTCCACCACCCCCTCCCCTCCTCTCCTTCCCCTGCCTCTCGCTTACTCCCGACGCGCGCATGCGCACACGCACCTCCCTCTGTTCCCCACCACCACCACCACCAGCAGGTGGGCTCTCTCTCTCTCTCATGGGAAAGGATGAAAGAAAAGGAAGAGAAAATGTATTGGGTTGCTGTGAGCTTTCCGGGCTGTATGGCCATGTTCCAGAAGCATTATCTCCTGACGTTTCACCCACATCTATGGCAAGCATCCCCAGAGGTTGTGAGGTCTGTTGGAAACTAGGCAAGGGAGGGTTATATATCTGTGGAATGTTCAGGGCGGGAGAAACAACTCTTGTCTGTTTGAGGCAAGTTTTTTTGGTGTGTCAGGAACGACTTGAGCAACTACAAGTCTCTTCTGGTGTGACATAATTGGCCGTCTGTAAGGACATTGCCTCTGCCATCGATGTGGGTGAAACGTCAGGAGAGAATGCTTCTTGAACATGGCCATACAGCCTGGAAAACTCACAGCAACCTAGTGATTCCAGCCATGAAAGCCTTCGACAATGCATAGAATGTATTTCTTATCCATTCCTCCCCCATGGATTGGACCAGGGAGCCACAGCACATTAAAACACAACATATAGGGTTCATCTACACCGGGGGTCCTCAAACTAAGGCCCAGGGGCCGGATACGGCCCTCCAAGGACATTTACCCGGCCCTCTCTCAGGGTCAACCTAAGTCTGAAAGGACTTGAAAGCACACAACAACAACAACAACAACCCTATCTCATCAGCCAAAAGCAGGTCCACACTTCCCATTGAAATACTAATACATTTATATTTGTTAAAATTGTTCATCATTTTAATCATTGTATTGTTTTTAAGTGTTTTTTGCACTACAAATAAGATATGTGCAGTGGGCATAGGAATTCATGTTTTTTTCAAATTATAATCCGGCCCTCCAACAGTTTGAGGAACTGTGACCTGGCCCTCTGTTTAAAAAGTTTGTGGACCCCCGATCTACACTGGAGATATAGTGCAACTTGACACCACTTCAATCCTAAGATTTTTAGTTTTACAAGGTCTTCAGCCTTGTCTGCCAAACAGTCCTGCTGCCTCACCAAACTACAGCTCTCAAGATTACATAGCCTTGAGCCATGGTCATTAAAGTGGGGTCAGGCTGCATTAATTCTGCAGTGTAGATGCACCCCTGAGGCCCCTTTCTGCTTTTTGCAGTCCTAGAAGGGCTTCTTTTGAGTTCTTGCCAAAATGATTGACACCCCAGCAGAGTACAATCTTCCAGGGAACCTGAGGCCCTTTCACATGATGCTTGAACTGCCATGGCTGTCTTCTGTGGGATCCTGGGACTTGTAGTTTACTCAAAAGCACCAAAGGAGCTTTCCAGCTGAGAATTGCCTGTTCTCTATGTAATGGCATTGTGAATGAGGGTTTGCTTATCAGTAAGATGAGGAAAGAATATGACTCTTGATAGACTGCCAATGTGGTCTGGACAGCATAGTTCAAATGTGGTGGACTCTTCCCGGATAAGCCATACCATGCAATTTATTTAAGGGAGCTTTCCAGAAACAAGGGAATCTTTTGATTTCCATCAGCCTTGACAGGAAGAGGCAATGAATCATAATACTCACATAAGTCTCACTTTGCTCATGATGGCTGATTATGAGCCAGCAACATTTGAAAGTGAAAAGAACGGCAGGGAAAGGAAGAAAATGAGTAATGTGTTATCAAAGGCTTTCATGGCCAGAATCACTGGGTTGCTGTGAGTTTTTACTGGACTATCTGGCCATGTCCCAGAAGCATTCGCTCCTAACGTTTCACCCACATCTATGGCAGGCATCCTCAGAGGTTGTGAAGTTTGTTGGAAACTAGGCAAGGGGGGTTTATATATCTGTGAATGTCTAGGGTGGGAGAAAGAACTGTTGTCTGCATGAGGCAAGTGTGAATGTTGCAATTGATCACCTTGATTAGTATTGAACAACCTTGCAGCTTCCAGGCGTGACTACTTCCTGCCTGGGGGAATCCATTGTTGGGAGGTGATAAGCTGGCCCTGATTGTAGCAGCCAAGCCTTGAAGCTACAAGGCTGTTCAGTGCTAATCAAGGTGATCAATTGCACAAGAGTTCAATTTATTGTCTTTCATGGCCAGAGTCGCTGGGTTGTTGTTAGTTTTTTGGGCTGTATGGCCATGTTCCAGAAGCATTCTCTTCTGACCTTTTGCCTGCCTCAATGGCAGGCATCCTCGCAAGTTGTGAGGTCAGACCTCACAACCTCTAAGATTACTTGCCATAGATATGGATAAAATGTCAGGAGAGAATGCTTCTGGAACATGGCCATATAGCCCGAAAAACTCACAATAACCCAGACAAGAGTACTTTTTCCCACTTTAGATCTTCCACAGGTATATAAACCCCACTTGCCTAGTTTCCAACAGACCTCACAACCTCTGAGCATGCCTGCCATAAAAGTGGGTGAAATGTCAGGAGATAATGCTTTTGAAACATGGCCATATAACCTGAAAAACTCACAACAACCCAGACAATAGTACTTTCTTCCACCTTGGGTCTTCCACAGATATATAAACCCCACTTGCCTATTTCCAACAAACCTCACAACCTTCGAGGATGCCTGCCATAGATGTGGGCAAAACGTTAGGAGAGAATGCTTCTGGAACATGGCCATTCAGCCCAGAAAACTCACAGCAGCCCAAAATCAGTGATCTTTGTATCCAATAAAATGCTATCATGAACATCTCTGAGCAGGGAGGGGTTTTGGGGGTGAAGAATTCAGCCAGATTTAGCTTATCTTGAAAGATTGTTGCTTGTGGAAACATGAGACTTAATACACACTGAAAGGCTGTTTGCCATTTCACGCCAGATATCTACAGAAACAGCCAGAACTCCAAGGCGTTTTTAGCTAGGTTTTTGTTGTTACATGCCTTGTAGCTGACTCAAACTTATGGCAACTATATTCTAGGGTTTTCTGGGCAAGATTTATTCAAACGAGTTGCTATCGCCTTCCTCTGAGGCTACAAAAGTGTGACTTTTGTAACTTTTGCTAAGTGATCAGTGCTCAAATTCTAGAGCACTGATCACTTAGCAGGTTTCCACGGTTGAATGAATCAGGATTTGATATATCATGACAGGACATGACTTAATAAGAAAGATAATGCTTGAGGAAGTAGAAGGAAAAGAGGAAGATGGTATTACAGATGTAAATATTCCTTAAAGGAAGTCAGGGCCCTGGGTTTGCAAGACCTGACCAGGGTTGTTGATATCTGAGTGACTTTGCGGTCTTATTCATAGGGTTGTCATGAGTTGAAGTTGATTTGAAAGCAGCGAACAACAAACATCTGGAATCCGAGTCCTAACACTATATATAACGCTATATATAATCCAAAACCTCAGCTCCCTGTGCTTGTTTTTGTTGGAAATAGCAACCTTTTACAAGCCTTCTATACTAATTATTTGTTATGTATATAATTGTCATTGCATACTATATTGTATGTATATGATTTTATATACAGTTTTCCCTTAACTCTATGTTGTTTGAGGTTGTGAGGTTGTGAAGATCATGTGACCAAATCTGGGACTATTCAGACAGACTCCTTTTTAGAAGTCAGTTTGCATCAGAAGCAGTACAGTTTAGAAGTAAAGTCAGTGTCCGTATGCTGCAATGTGTCAGTCTGTATTGAGTCAATGTTCAGTAATGTATTAGACTGAAGAGAGTGTAAGTCTGTATGCAACAGAGAAGAGACTAAAACAGAATGCTTTAGAGAACTAACTGTTTAAACTCTCAGCCAGTAAAAATGTACATGTATGCTGAATACATGAAGTTTGTAAGTAAATCAACTATGTTACTTTTAATGAAGACTATCTATTTTTGGTCTCTTGAGAGCATGATTTAAAAGCAATATATTTTATGGGTGAGTAGGTTTTTTGGGCAACAAAATAACACTTCTGGAGATCTGCTTATATTTTGTGCATTGTCATATCTTTGTTCCTAACAGTGCAGAGATAACCAGGTATATCAGTCTAACAACTGAGAAAACTTATTTGCCTTGCATTGATATTAATGGATATTTATCACTAAGGAGAAGATTGATTCAAGCAAGTATTTAGCTCTTCTCAGGAAGATCATACTTTACAAAAGGGTTACGATTATTCCAAATAGCGTGAAGGCCAATTAATCTCTAAAATGGTTGTATATCCAAAAGGCCGTGGAGATTTCTGGTAATGATCTCTAAAAGGTCATGCCTTTCCAAAAGTTTTTATTTTTCCAGTTTTTATTCTCCCAGTTTCCCTCCTTGTCTAGAGGTTTTGGAATGGATGATGGGTGGTCATCTGTCAGGAGTGTTTTGATTGTGTTCTTGCATTGCATGGTTTTGGACAGGGGTACCTTCAAATTCTGGTCCTATGAAACTACAGTTGCATTTATCTCTCCCCCTTTGCAGAAGGTAGAAACTCTTATGTGAATCATCTCCTCCAACCATTACCAACATTTTTGGAGCAGTTTTAGCTCCCATGGAGATAAATATCTTAAATATTAGAGTCATAGTCATAGCCCCCCTTTTGTGCCCACTGGCCATGTACTGTCTGAGGGCAGGGATGGGAAACTTGTGCCTTGCCAGATATAGCTGGTGGTTAAAGTTCTTAAAAGTCACAATTCAACAATGCCTGGGGTTAGTATGTTTCCCATCCTTGCCTTAGGGCAACCTGAGTGACTAAAGTCTGAAAAGAGCATTCCAAATAGTTTGATACACTTGCCTTTCAACACCCACTCTCATCAGCTTGGGAAATGGTTTTGTTTCCCTGCAAAGGAAGCTCTACAAAAAGACCAGCTTCCTCTCTCAAAAGTATATGCAGCTGCTTATTTATTTATCGTGTCAGAAGCAAGCCAAACAGTTGTATTGCATTTTTTAACAAGCAAACAAAACACAAAGTATACAAAGTGAGTATACAATGCTCACTTGAAGAAATGTAGACTATCAC